CGTGGTTACTTTCTCGACGCTTGTGTACACTAAAAGCTTTTACCAAGCGCTCTTGAGAGCCCGAGAGCTGTTGAATGGAATCTCGGTTGATAATTCCTTTACTTTTTTGAGAACCCACGTCACCAGATTAAGATTTTCGGTTCTTCAATCCTGCAAGATGACCAAGATATGCTTTCGACGCTGAGTGCGAATGACAAGGAATAATTGACATCAAAAATCACCCTTTTTTCAGAGGTTATAAAGTCTGGTAAGAAAGGTGCTTTGAAAACAATTTTTACTTGTGCCCATTTGAACCAGCTCAAGATGGATCGTAAACAGAGATTCCTTTTACGATGGCAAGTATTTTTTTTGACGATTTTGAAGATCATTTGGTCTCCCACCTATTCTGCAGCCAATTCAATTCCCAACTGGGACAGGATTCTCAACTTGAACGATGGAAAATCGATTGACGAGCTTAAGTGGATCTTTTTTTCTCAAAATGGTATTTCAAAGTCTGAAATTTTGAAATTCTTTCAAGCTAGCCAGGCAGGGGCGACATTTTTCGCGAATTTTAACATATCTTTGATTCCATCAATTGCAGATACCCCTACATTGGATAGCGAGAGTGTTGTGCAATCGACGCAAGAGCAACAATCTGTCCAAGAGCAGGAAAAAATTCATGAAAACCTGGAAGATACAAATGTATCCCCTGCAAATTCTTCACCTTTCGGAATATCTGATGCGATATTTGATGGTTTAGGGGTTAAATTTACAAAAGATTTTGCAACAACAGTTGTTGGTCGCCTCAATTTGAACGATGCATACACAAAGTACCCGGTGTTTGTTGATATTTTCAAAGGAAAAAAGGTATTCGCCACAATGAACGATATCTCTGAAAAGCTCAAAAATCCCTTTCACTTTTTCTTCTCGCCTGCATTGATTAACATCTATTATCTGGACGAATTTGACTTGGAAGACATGCTTCACTATCTGGCATACTCTGGCGGCGCCGTTGGTTTTATGA